GAACTGAAACCATGTCTACTCTTAAAAATTATACATAAAAATTCTTTCTACTCATAAATCAAACTCAAATGTTTTAAGAAAAAATATTCCACTCATATTTGTGCAACTGAAACCACGTCTTCACTTAAAGAGGAGGGACAAAAGAATCTCTTTATAATCATAAATCAAACTCAAAAGTTTTAACAAAACATATTCGAGGTATATTTGTGGAACTGAAACCACATCTACTCTTAAAGAGGATGCAAAGTAAGAACACTTTCTACTCATAAATCAAACTCAAACATGTTAGGACACATAACACCCTTATATTTGTGCAACTGAAACCATGTCTTCTCTTAAAGAGGAGGGACAAAAGAAACTCTTTGTAATCATAAATCATAAATCAAAAGTTTTAACAAAACACATTCTACATATATTTGTGGAACTGAAACCATGTCTAATCTTAAAGAGGATGCAAAGAAGAAACTCCTCGAACTCATAAATTAAATTCAAACATTTTAGGAACACATACTAGTCTTATATTTGTGCAACTGAAACCACATCTTCCCTTAAAGAGGATGCACAAAAGAAACTCTTTGTAATCACAAATCAAACTCGAAAGTTTTAACAAAGCATACTCAACTTATATTTGTGGACTGAAACTATGTCTATGCTTTTTTGTTTTGTTTTGTATTGTTTTTTGTTTTTTTGGGGGGGGAGGATGGGGGCAACATGTCTACTCTTAAAGAGGATACATAAAAGAAACTCTTTGTACTCATAAACAAAACTGCAATGTTTTAGAAAAACATATTCAACTTATATTTGTGGAACTGAAACCATGTCTACTGTTTAAAAGTATGCAAAAAAGAAACTTTTTGTGATCATAAATGACAGTACCACATACCAGCCTCATATTTTTGCAACTGAAACCAAGTCTTCTCTTAAAGAGGATGCATTAAAAAACTCTTTGTACTCTAAACAAAACTCAAACATTTTAAGAAAATGTATTCGACTTATATTTGGGGAACTAACCATGTCTCCTTAAATAGGATGTCCAAAAGAAATTCTTTTTTTTTTTCATAAAAGAAACTCAAATATGTTAGGAACACATATGCTACTTATATTTGTGGAACTGAAACCATGTCTATTCTTAAAAAGGATGCACAAAATGAACTCTTTTTACTCATAAATGAAACTCAAACATTTTAAGAAAACGTATTCAACTTTTATTTGTGGAACCAAAACCACATATACTCTTAAAGAGTATGCAGTTGGGGCAGCTAAGTGGTGCAGTGGATAGAGCACTGGCCCTGGAGTCAGGAAGACCTGAGTTCAAAATCTAGTCTCAGATACTTGATATTTACTAACTGTGTGACTCAGCCCAAGTCACCTAACCCATTTGCCTAGCCAAAAAAAAATTTTTAAAAAGTATGCATAAAACAAACTCAATAGTTTTATTCAACAGAAGTGGAAATGAATTAAGAGAGCACAAACAAAAGCTATAGACCCATATGGAGACTTAATTACATAATTCTAAACAAGTATGTCAAAGAACAAATTAGTGAAACAGTTAACAAACTTAGGAAAGACAATGATAATGATGAGATAACACCTCAGCATTTCTTTATTTCCTGTAAAGGAGTGCTCAGAGGAAAAATTATATCCCCAAAATACTTATAAAATATTATGAGCATCAATGA